CCCCCCCCCCCCGTTCAAGCGGCGACGAACGCACCGATGTTATTTGTTATGTCGCGCGTCGTCCGAGCGGGAGTTAATAGAACGGCCGTAAAACAGCACCGGGATGCGCCGATGTTCGTTCGTTCATTCGTTCGTTCGTTCGTTTGTTCGTCCATTCGTTTGTGCCTCAGTCGATTCGCGGTGGATTTTTACTCCGTCGACTCTTTACTCTTTCACGAGAGCGTCCGTCGTTGTCGTCGGTTCGCTCTCGCGAATTTTCAACTTCCGGGGGACAATTTGGAGAGAGGGAGGAACTGGGTAGTGCGAAGTGTATCTTCACAATTACACTTCCTTAAACTGTTCCGCTAATTCACCCGAGCAAAACTCGTTTAATCATTTCGAGAGCACTTCTCGTCCACCGGCGCTCTCTTCGCTGCGTTCGCAACCGGTCACTTTTCCGCGGGAAATAGAGACGCATAGCCCTTCCAATTCCGCCCCGTGATCTTAGCGAGATAGAAAGTCGCGATATATATATATATGTATGTATACATATGTATATATACGTATATATTTCGCCGATACATTTCTTATCGTTACGAGGGCGCGAAGTCCTTCGTCGTCCCTCGTTCTCGCTCCCTCTTTCTTCCCCACCTTGTCCTCCGTCGCCCTCGTCGCGCGGCCGACGTAATAATTCTTCTTCTCGTCGTCGAACATAAAGCGAAGAAACTCTTGGAACAGCTGTTGTTATTTAATTTACGGCCGGCGCGGGGATTTTGTGCTTTTCGTAAATCGAAATGCAAATACGCTATATGTCACTGTCTCGGATAATCCTTGATATAGCTGCATTCAAGTACCTTAAGAGCGGTAAGAGGTCGAAGCGGGCTGCTGCCGCCGCCGCCGCTTTAATGAGACTGCCTGGTAATTGTTTGTACGTCAGTTACCTCTCCAGATAAAGCGCAAAACATAAACGCTCGCGCGGGATCCTTCGTCGAATTACGGTGACCTGACGTTCCGCGAGACCCGGGAAACAACGAGAGAGAGAGAGAGAAAGAGAGTGCTTCTCCTCCCATCGATCGTGCTTAATTGTACGTATATTTGCAAATGTATCGCCGAAAGTTATCGGGTTAATTATAAATATATGTGCGACTGATGACGCACGTTGCGCCGGGAGTCTCGTCTATCACCTCGATCCTCATCCTTCCTGCCCTTTGTAACACTTTTGCCGGCTAAAGAATGACCGCATCTAAACTCGCGTTAAGAATGTACAAACCTATACGGAGGAGGAATAGAGAAAGAGTGAGAGGGAGAGAGAGAGAGAGAGAGAGAGATGGCTACTACGGGAAGAGCATGTATTATTCTTCACCTCGATCTTCAATATTGAACTAGAAGGATAACGCAGCAAGCAACAAACTCAACACGTCCGCCGGCGGTTGCTTAATTATAAATATCTTCGCGAACACGATTCATGCGAGAAATTTCTTCACGCGCATAACCCTCTGCGAAACAAATTCGGAGTTCTCTCGGATGAGAAACCCCGGCCGTCGATACGTGGCTACTGATAAATATGCGCAGTCTGCTGCGGAATTATAGCTGAAGGGTCGAACTGGCTGGCAGAATTCGCGTAACGAGTTCGATGATTTTGATCTTACACGGGAAAAAATATTAATATCAATTCAAAGTTCATATTCTCGCATGTGTAAGCAAGAATATATAATCTTACACGAGGATAAAACCCTGCTTGGATGAAGAAATTCTGCATAATCCCATAAAAAATATCATAATCTCGTTATTTAAGAATAATTCGAGTTGAGAGAGGAGAAATATCGGCGAGGAAGAAAGAATATCTTGAAATTAATGAAGAATCGTATCCGTTTGTGAAGATATCTCGTTCCCTCCGTCCGATATTTTCTCCTCTTAATTCATGAAGATTATTCCTGAATAACAAGAATATGATATGTTTAGTGGAACAAGAGAATGATGCGGCACACCTGACACCGACTGCGCGCTTCGTCTACCGCATCAACAAGCGCGAATGTGTCAAGAGGAGGATCCCCGAGTTACGAGGGTGTTATCTCCGCAGTGCGAGTCGCCCTTTCCTCGCAGTAGCGTCGTTGCGTACACCATATGCAACAATCATCTTCCCTTCGAATTTATTAAATTTCTCCTTCGACGTGCTCAAAGAGCCCCGTCCGTCCGTCTCGCCAGGTCGTCGCAGCCCGGCGCGCTCGAAAAATCGAGACGAGCGAAAACGAACGATCCCTTTAAGGTCCGGCGCGAAGAGCGACATAAATTAATTAATATGACGGTACGACGACGGGCGGTATCCTGACGGGGACCGAGATCGCGAGCGGAATGCGCTCCTTGAGAAGAAATTTCCCTCCTCGACGCCTATGCGCGGCGCTCGTTGGCCTCCTTTTCTCCTGCCGCCGCGTAAAAGCTACGTCCCGGTGATAAGGAGCTCCCGCGGGAGAGCCGGAGAGAAGTAACCTTGTATTATGCGAAAGACCAGGAACTCGTAAGGTCCCTCGGGGAACACCCTTTCTCACCGCTTACGACATCGTCCTTCTGTCCGGCTTATACGTCGCTCTGTGATGTTCACTTCGGCGTTCTCCCCGATGTGCGCGGAAAGACCGCTGATGGGTCCACGAATTCTTTACGAGACTGTTTGCACCTATGGGAAACTTAACAGCGGGTATGACGACGACGGAGACGGCGAGCACGAGGACGACGCGTGCCACTCCGCACGTCCCCTATTATGAACGGCCGGGGGAGGGGAGGGAGTGAAAATGTTATTTTCCCTACCGTTACAAGACCGTTTGATCTTTAAAGGCAACGCCTAGTTGATTCTATCGATTTTCTTGTTTTGTCGGGCAGTTTACGCGGAAAATACTTTTCCAGCTCGCTCGCGCGCGCACGTGAATTTCCATTATATCGTGATATCGCGTTTTAACGGTAAATACAATATAACTTAAATGGGCATACGGGTTGTTGCGGTGATCTATTTTCCGCGCCGTGTTCCGAAAGGCTTGTTATTTGATGTCGATAGTGATTACGAATTCATTATACGGATATACCAGTGGATCGTAATAATTTTATAATTTCTGCAACCGCGAGCCGGCGGAGTATTCGCGTTTAATGATGTCGTTACAGAGATACAATCGCGGGGGATTACAATTTGCGCAATTTGCGTATCGGTGTTTAAGTCAGAATGGGAGTCGAATTGATACTGTTATCGTCTGATTCTATCATTTTGCCGGGAGAATACGGTTTTTTACGCGTACACCATAGGGGAGATAAGAGAGAGTTGGAAACGGGGGGGGAGGGGGGGACGATAATTGGGACAAGCTAATTTTCTTTCTAACAGCTGGTGCTGTACTTTTGATTGAAACACAGCTGATGCCTCTAAATGACATACATGAAAATTTACTTATAATACGGAATATCGGGAAAGGAGCATCGCAAATGAGTCTCGCGACAGAAAAGAGCACGTGCAACCCGATATCTCTCCGTGGTCAAATTAATTATATCAGTTTCTTATTTCGTAATTCCTCTTCTGCATTTATGAGAGTCGTGTGTAATTTTAGTTTAATTTAAGTTTAATAACGACGAACGCGAGAGTGCCTCGAAGGCACTCCGACGGATGTTCCTTCGCTTCACAGCCCTTGGAAAGCCCTTCGCGTCCGAGTAGCGCGCGAAATATGCATAAAATTGCACCTCCCCAGCGAGGAAACGGACGCTACATTTGCAAAATTTATTTTTCTCCGATACGTCGGACGTTCAAAAGTTTGCGTGGAATAAATCATTGCAAAAACTATCCTACCGGACGAACCGAATGTTTCGGTGTCACACATATCTCTCCGGAAACAGAAAGACAGTGGAGAAGGGAAAAGTGCAACGAGTGAATTTTGAAAAATTCCATAC